GCCTCCATGGAAGCAATGGAGAAGAGAATGACAGAGGCAATACAAGCCATGGGGGAGCAGATAGAAAAAACATTGGGGGACCAACTGGAGAAGCAAACTCAGATTCATCTGAAACATCTAGAAGAAGTCCAAGAGAAGAACATAACAGCATTGAAGGAATTGGTTACTACAGAAATAACTTCAATCAAGCAAGAAATGGAAGGAGTTAAGAAGGATGTTCAAGCAAATGCAACCAAGACTACAGAGACAGAGGAGAAGATACAAAAAATAGAAGAGAAACAAGATTCTTTGACTCAACAAATTACAAGATCAGAGACAATGATGGAGTTCAGAAGGATGCAGACTCATCTGAGATTCAGAGGCATTAAGGAAACAGAGAATGAGAACTTAAAAGAAAAAATGATGGAAGTGATAACGGCTTTTCTGGGCGAGGAGGAAGGGTCAATGGACTCAGACTTTGATTTGATTTATAGAGTGAACTCCAGAATTGCAGAAAAGAAGAATTTACCAAGGGATGTAATTGTACAATTTGTAACAAGATCAATAACAGAGGAGATATTCAAGAAGCAATTCAACGTCCCTTTTGTAATAGAGGGAAACAAAATTATGGTGATGAGAGAACTCCCAAGAACAATACTGCAAGACAGGAAAAGGTATAAATCCTTGGCGGACAAACTCAGAGCTTTGAGCATCAGATATAGATGGGAGATTCCACAAGGTTTATCCTTTACGTATCAAGGTGGGAGGATTCAGATCAGATCGATGATGGACTTTTATAAATTTAAGGCGGACAATGCGGACGTCTTTGGAGAACTTTAAAATAAAACGCATAATGGAGTACAAATTGTTGTCATGGAATGTTAATGGATTAAATTCACCAAACAAGAGGAAAAGAATCAATCATTGGATACAGAAACAGAAATGCAACGTGATATGCTTGCAAGAAACACATATTAGAAAACAGGATATAAAATATTTAAAGAATGCTTTATTTGGAATTGAATTTTGTTCTGCGGCCTCAAACAAGAAAAAAGGAGTTGTGACATATGTGAAGAAGGAGTTACAACCTACAGAAATTTTTAAGGACATAGATGGCAGATACGTGGGTGTGGAATTAATGATTCAGCAGAAAAAAACATTGTTGATCAACGTGTACGCACCCAATGGAGCAAAGGAAAAATTTTTTAAGGATATAACTGACCAATTACAACAATTGACTTATGAGCAAGTTATTATGGCCGGAGACTTTAATGGGACAATAGATCGTCTAGACAGAAAACCACAAAAGGACAACGAATTCAGCGGAAAATTGCCAAAGAATTTTTTTGAATTAGTTAAGCAAGAAAAATTAGAAGATGTTTGGAGGAAATGGAACCCGATGCAGAAAGACTTTACTTTTTATTCCAATAGACATTGCTCTTTTTCCAGAATTGATATGATTTGGATGTCTGAAGAATTATCAATGAAAACACATAAGACTGAAATTTTGCCAAGATGTAATTCAGATCACAATCCGGTGGTATGGAGTTCCACAGAAAGGAAAAAACCCTTTCTGTGGAGGATTAATGAAGACTTGTTGGATAAGAAAACGGTAATTGAGATGTTAAAGGAAGAAACGAAACAATTCTTTCAACAAAATTTAAATAAAGAAACACCGATACAGATTGTATGGGATGCTTATAAAGCGGTGATGAGAGGAATTCTCATCTCGCAAAACGTGAAGCAAAAAAAGGAAAAACTTCAAAAACAAACAGAAGTGTTAGAAAAAATTGCTCAGAAAGAAAAGGAATTAAAAAAGAAGCCTGGAAAAAAGCAAATTATTAAAGAATTAAAGTTGCTGAAGGAACAACTGAATGAGACTTGGAATCAGGAAATGTATTGGAATTTAAAGAAGTTACAACAGAAATCTTTTGAAGGGGCGAACAAACCGGGAAAATACTTAGCTTGGCAACTTAAGGCTAGAAGAGAGAGAAGAATGATAACCAAAATAATAGAAGATGGAAAAGAGTTCGTTGATCCTAATGGAATAAAGAGATGTTTCTTCAAGTATTATGCTAAACTATTCCAAACAACTAGAGTTGATCTTGAGAAGATTAAAACATATTTAAAGGAGATTCCACTACCAAAAATAAGTAAGGAATACAAAGATTTATTAAATGGTCCAATTCAAAAAGAAGAAGTGATGAAGGCAATAGAAGAGACAAAGTTGGGGAAGGCGCCTGGGCCGGACGGATTTACAGCGAAATTCTACAAAAAGATGAAAGAAGAAATTTCCCCGGTCCTGGAAGCTTTAACCAACGAAATAAGAGAAAACAAAAAGGTGCCGGACTCATGGAAAGAAGCAATTATTTCTTTGATTCCAAAGGAAGGACAAGATTCAACAAATGTAAAGAACTACAGGCCAATATCTCTTTTGAACAACGATTATAAAATCTTTGCAAAAATTATTGCAGAAAGGGTGAAAAACTATTTACAAACGGTAATTTCTGAAGATCAAGCGGGCTTTTTACCCAAAAGGCAGATTAGAGACAATGTAAGAATAGTAATGGACGCAATTGAATATTATGAAAAGCACCCAGAAAAAGAAGTAGCTTTTCTGTTTGTTGATGCAGAAAAAGCTTTTGACAATCTTAATTGGAATTTTATGCACCAGATGATGGAAAAGATTGAAGCGGGACAACATTTTAGAAATTGTATTGAAGCTATCTATTCTGAACAAAGAGCTAAAATAAATGTGAATAAAGAACTGACAGATAACTTCAAAGTACAGAAAGGAACAAGGCAAGGTTGTCCGTTATCACCGTTATTATTTATCTGGGTATTGGAAATACTTTTACAAAAAATACAGTACGATCAAGAAATAAAGGGCTTGACACATAAAGGACACCAATACAAATATCGAGCATTTGCAGACGATGTAATGTTTATGGTGGAAAACCCAACAGAAAAATTGACATTGCTTTTTCAAAAAATAAAGGAGTTTGGAGAATTGGCCGGCTTTTACGTAAATAAGAATAAAACAAAACTTATATGTAAAAACATGATCAAACAAAAACAAGTGGAACTACAAGAACTGGTACAATGTGAAGTAGTTAAAAAAACAAAATACCTTGGAATTGAATTAACGGCAAAAAATATAGACCTATATAAGAATAATTATGAGAAATTATGGACTAAGCTGACTCAAGATTTTAAGAAATGGGATAAAATGAACTTATCACTGATGGGAAGAATATCAGTTATAAAAATGAATGTCCTACCACGTTTGATGTTCCTGTTCCAAACAATACCAATTCTGCATAAAACGGATTTGTTGGCCAAGTGGCAACAAGAGTTGTCAAAATTTGTTTGGGCAGGCAAGAAACCAAGGATCAAAATGAAAATACTTTGTGATGCCAAAGAAAGAGGAGGTCTACAAATGCCAAATCTTAGACTATATTATGAAGCGGTTTGTCTAACATGGATGGATCAATGGGTGAAGCTTGAAAATGACAGATTGTTGGGGTTGGAAGGGCATGATTGTAGATTTGGCTGGCATGCATATTTATGGTATGACAAGATAAAAATGGACAGTTTTTTTAAACTTCACTTGGTGAGAAAAGCTTTGTATATGGTATGGACAAGATATAAGAAGTACCAGAGTGACTTAAGACCATTGTGGATTGTACCAGTAGAAGTGTTGATATCTTACTCAAGACAGCGAGGTAGAGACTGGTTGCCATATAGAGATTTAATTAAAAAAGAGGGAACAGAGTGGGTAATGAAAAAGCAGAATGAAATTGAATATGAATATGAGTGGTTGAAATATATGCAGATTTATGATCTTTTTAGATCTGACAAAAAAAACTATGGTTTTAGAGAGGAAAAAAATGAAATTGAAAAGGTATGGGAGAGTGGAGGAGGAAAAAATATTTCTAAAATGTATAAGGTGTTGTTAAAATGGTATACTGAAGATGAAACTGTTAAAGAACAAATGTTAAAATGGGCTATTAATATGAATAAGGAAGTGGATATGGAAACTTGGGAATATTTGTGGAAAAACTCTATTAAGATCTCGACATGTACTAATGTTAAAGAAAATTGTTATAAGATGATGTATAGGTGGTACATGACACCTAAGAAGATTGCAAATATGAATCAAAATATGTCAAACAAATGTTGGAAATGTAAGAGGCATGAGGGCTCATTTTATCATATGTGGTGGACTTGTGAGAAAGCTGTAGACTTTTGGACAAAAGTCCACAATGAAATGCAAAAAATACTGAAATGTTCTTTTAAAAAAGCACCGGAAATTCTGCTTTTGGGACTCAAAATGGAAGAAGTCAATACGACTAAAAAAACTTTACTCTGGTACCTGATAGTGACAGCGAGAATGATTTATGCTCAGTTTTGGAAGACGGAAAAGGTACCAGAGGTTGAAGAATGGATACAAAAAGTTCTGTTCATGGCACAAATGGATAAGATTACAAAAAAACTGAATAACAAAGAAGACGATGAGTTTTTTGGAGAATGGAATGATTTTAAAATTTATCTGGAAAAGAACTGGGATGTGAAACAAAACTTAATATGTTTAGATCAATATTAAGTCAAACGATGTTATCTTTAGATTGTAATGATGAAAAACTGATATTGTTGATGATATGAAGTAATTTGGAGCAGGGGTGGAAGCATTGTGGGAAGCCATTGGAGGGAGGGGAGGAACTGGGAATGGGGTAGACAATTGATAGAATGAAATGATTTAATCTTACATGTTGTATTCCTGAGAAAATAAAAATTTGTTTACCAAAAAAAAAAAAAAGAATAAACCTCTGTTGGTATTAAAGGTGCCACTGGACTCTAGATTTGGAAACGCAATGTTTCCTTTGCTACCGGGTTGTCCTTCCTGTGCTGGGTCCATTACTTACCTTGAGAAAAGCTGGTCATTTCAGACTGAGGGGAGAAGCTGGTCCTTCTAGGGACTGCCGAAGAGCGTGGGGTGAAGCCGTTCGTTTCAGGCAGTCCTGAAGGCTAAGGGGGAAACAAGGATAACAGGACCATCTGACAGGCAGAGATCAGTCGTTCCTCATATTTAATATCACACAGGTTTTCTTAAAACATTTCTTGTTCCATCTCACCTAAACTGTCTTTCTGTTAGTGCCAAATTAACTATGTAGTCCATCTTTGAGTCCACCTGCCTTTCTGCCCAACTATAATAAAAGGTGCCATTGGGGGACTTGAACCTGTATATGTATTGAAGCAAGAGTCAAGCAAAGCAGTGGACTCAGTGATACACGCCAGTGGATCCGAGTGCTGCTCAGATACCTGGAATTCCCACAATTGTGCCTTGGTTTTAATAAGATGTAGACCAGAGGTGTCAAACTCATTTGTTACGAGGGCCGGTTCTGACATAAATGGACGGCCAGGCTATGTGTGCCATAAACGTAATGGCAGGTACCAGAGATATAGACTGCATGAAGGACAGCAGCTTGTAAGCTCCAAGTTGGTGTATCCTCACTGCATGGCCCCATGGGCTGGGAGGGGGTGCAGAGGAAAACCCACATGGGTGGACTGCAGAGCCAGTGGTGCAGCACTGGGCAGACACTCCCACTCTGCTTGACTGCTGCAGACGAGGTTTTTCCATCGTACTGAAGCCACAAGTGGAGTGGCTCAACCTACTCCCCTCCCCGAGCAGCCTTGTGTTCCCTCCCTTGCACCAGCTGCTCGCGGGCCACATAAGAGCCCTGGACAGGCCAGTTCTGGCCCTCGGGCCTTATGTTTGACACCCCTGATGTACACAGTTTTGGAGGAGGTATAACTAGCTGCCAACAAGCTGCTGCACAGATACTACAATACTGAAGGGAAGCACAAAGGACTGGGGTGAGGCCCCCTTGATGGGAGGTAACGTTTCACTTTCAACTGCAGTTCTGCAAAGGGGAGGAGATGGGGTCTCTCCCTCCCCACAGAGAAGCACAGCACCGCTGCAGAAGGACCAAGAAGTGACCCCTTCCATCTGTTTCATGATATCGACCAGGGTGGGACGGGGTTAATTATTTACGATGCCACAAAATAAGCATGTGTTTGCTCTTGGTTGTACCTCAGCATAAGAGTCTCTTTCCATTGTTCTTGGGGATCTTTCTATGTAGTTGGGTAGTGAGGAATGCATTTGCTGTCTCGGCATCTGGTGCACGGATGAGTGTCTCTGCAGGAGGAAAAATAATAAAAGGGTAAGAATGGCTGGAATATTTCTTGGTTGCGATTCACTGGCTACAACATCCATTACTAACTGCCCCCTGAATGCGTGGTTTTGTTTAGATGCTCAAAAGTAGAATTCTAAGCTAGTGATTCTGACATGGGAGACAGAGTGGAAGCAGCACAGAAAAATTTGGGGAGTTGGCAGACCAGCCTGGACTCCAAACTTCAGCCACTGTTGCATCACCGGATGCCCAGCGGGGAAGAAGTCACCTTTGAGCTTTGTAGCACGGTCAACAGGGTTTCAATATGCTGGACGTAAGGAGAGCCTAGCAGAGAAGGGAGGGGGAGGTTGAGAGAGGAGAGACAGAATGTAGAGGACAGGCAGGGTCTGGGCAATAGATTCCAAGCAAAATCAAATGCCTCTAAGTATAACGCATAAACTTGGAGGACAAGGGTCCAGAAGCTGCAAGAATTAACATCTGCCTGGGTGCAAGCACGCAAGCGTCAACATGCATAAATCACACCGTATAAGAGAGAATATGTCAAGAACAGAACTAAAATCAAATGCATTGTAGCCACTGCCAAGACAGGAACTACTAACTATTAATAACAATAATTTAAGAATCACTCTTTTGTGTGCTCTCTGGCATTTGGTGTATTTGTGCTGCTGGCAACCCCCAGGAAAACACAGGATTCTCTGCCCTACACACTGTGATTTCCCACAAGCTCAGAGTTGGCTGACTACATGAGGTTGAAGTTTCCTGTTTCAGGCTGTTACCAGCGGAGTCGGATCGACAGTCGACAGTCGGTGTGAAGCAAGGGGGCCAGAGCCGCTAGCAGCAATCAGGACCATGGCTAGCTCCCGGTGAAGGACTGGATAGCAGAACATCAATCGGCAAGCAGAATGATGCTCTAGCCACATGTCTGACAGTGAAGGCAGGGAAGGATGTGTGTGCGTCAAGTCCCACCCTCCCTGGAGAACATGGTTCAGGCCTTAAAGAGGTCATAACTCAACTACAGGGTTGGAAGGCTCCCTATTGTCTCAGGACCTGGTGCTCTGGATGGTTCTGTCTCCAAGTTAAGAGTCCAAACGGGAAAAGATGGCCCTGTCTCTTGATAGTCTTCCTGATTATTTGTGTCTGTGCGGGGGTTTCTCCAGGTATTCTTGGGGAGGGGCTGCCTCCTGGACCTATGCCCCATCACCCAAGTCTCTGTAACAAGGAGAGGCCAGCGTACAAGTGTGGACTTATGCTGATCTCTCTACATCAGTTATTTGTTTTGCTTTTTTTTAAAAAATCCCACCGAAAGAACTCCATGCAGTGCAAAAGGGTTCTGACAGAACCCAATCAGTAAAGCCAATGTGTTTAGAATTGCTGTCCAAGTAACAAGTGCAAACTAAATTACTCCTGGGAATCTTCTCATGGGTTTTGGAGCCCAGTTCACCCAGTTTTTCCAAAGCAGTATGAGCAACACTCAACCAAAGAGTGAGCAGCCAAGTTCCATTATCTGAACAGGTTTCTTTCCGCTCGCAAGGAGGGCAACTCCCCCGCAAATTGCAGAGGAAAAAGCACAGACTCTGCCTGCATGTGCAAAGCTACATGCTGGACTTGTGTGTGCACTCTGGATTCCTCAGGGCAGTTCAAGAGCTTTTTTTTCTCCCCTCCTGCTGCCCACATTCATAGAGAACAAAACTCACTGCGGAAGCCAGTATTCCAGAACCAGGGGTCTTTTGGGGACAGCGCACCGCTCCAGCAGCCCAGGAGCTGGCACAAATGGCGGTGGCAGCAAGCCCTGCCCCCAGCTCCCCACGTGGCCCGTTGCTGGCCTTCCGAGGCCTGCGCTGGAGCGCTGCGGTGAGCGACCCGCACGAGGGATCCGTGGGGGTGGCGGGGGCTTGATGGGGGGGTGGTAGGAGAGCCTCCCTTCCTCCATCTCTGCTATCTTTCCCTCCTTTCCTTTTCTTTCTCT